GTCGCCCCTGGAGTTGACCTGTCTGTTCATGGCCCAGCGCGCGGAGGCGACCGCCCGCTGGATTTTGTGAGCGACCGCAGGCTGGTCGAACCCGATGCTGAACTGGTCGATCAGCTGCCTCGCGTGCACCTTCCACATCCCTCCATGTCTTTCCACGGTAGCATTCTGCTGCGGCGTCGCCGCAGATGTCGCCATCAAGCGGCAATCCATGTTCCCGAGCTCCTTGGAGATTTCTCGCTCGAACTCGCCTCCTCCATCAAATATGACGCACTGAGGCGCGCCAAAATGCGTAATCCAAATCTGCAACAGTCGAGCGAAAACAACCGGTGGGCGCCTGGATGCGACAGCGCCGGACATCGTAACACCTGGGGCCAGGTCGACCAGGTTGAGGTAGACCAGCTGGTTGCCAGCGTAGTCGGCCAGTTTGACAGGTCCACTCCGATGGAGTCGTTGAAGTCCCTGTCCAGTCTGATCCGATCCCGTAGATGTGGTAGCGGTCGCTGATGTGTTGCGCAAGGTCGCAGCAGAGGTCGAGCCATGTCGATGGACCTTTGCGATCCACCAGTCACACGAATGGCTCGGGCAAGTGAATCGTTGGACGGGTGCCCCGTGTTCACGTGGAGCTGCGCGATGGCGGAGCGTAGTGTCCGCTCCTCCGCGGCCGCAAGCGATGGCTCCTGATTGGCTGCGGCGGCTGGAACCGTCCTTCTTCTTGCCCTTGTCGTCGTCGATGAAGGGCGAGCTTCTCGTGCAGGTCGGCGGTTCGGACGTCGCAGCTGCTCGGCTAGCACAGTCACGAGCTCGGTCGTGCGTCGGCCTCTGCGCGTGGGCGCCCCCCGCTGCAGAAGCGCCTGGGCGAGTCGTCGAACCCGAAATGATCGGCGATGATCCGCCACGGCTTCTGGATGTGGATCCCATTCTTCGTCTTGAGGTCGAACGCGCAGCCGTCGAAGTCCACGGCGTGCGGGAGCTGCTCCCTTGGCAATGGCTTTCTTGTTGGGGCCCCATCCGTCGCAGTCCTTCGGCCACTCAAACGAGACGGCGAGTTGGGCGCCGAACTCCTTGCGCAGCCTTGACATTGACTGCAAGAACAGGCCGATCATCTGCTTGGACTTCGCCCGATCCCTGTTGAGCTTGGGGATCTCGCTCGGGTCGCTCTTGACGACGAGTCGCTGTGGCGATGTCCACGGTTGGCATGGAAACGCAGCGTGAACTCGCACAGTTTTGCCTGCGGCAAGGTGTTTCCGGATCCTGCCCTTTAGCTTCTGGACCACGAAATGCTTGGGGAGGTCGAAGCTTGGAAGACCACACTTGACAGCAGCTCCTCCCTTCTTCTTCCAGACGGCGCTGAGCTTGCTGTCCGGGTTGCAGCACCACTCGTAGAGCACGGTGCCGTTCGCTGTGGAGGTCGGGTCGGGCTGGCTCTGGTTGTAGACTTAGCCAGGTTAGTAATCAAGGCCTGGCCGATCTTCTGCGGCTGGATGCCGCTCTTGCTGGTGACGAAGACTGAGCGCTTGCCAGCGATCAGCTGCGGCTTCGCCCCCTTCTTGAGCGTCCTCACGCGCGGCTGCTCCTCCTCCGCGATGTTGACTTCGAGTTCGAGGCAGCCGTTGGCGATGGCGCCCTGGCCGTGGCTTAGGGTTACGGGCGTGCCGAAGACGCAGTCCGAGCATAACCTTCGATGGCTGCAGGCCTCGAGAGTCGTCTCGCCACAGGCGGTGCAGTCCTGCAGGGGCTCGGTCACGCACGTCGGGGGGTAGGTCGTCGGCGGCAGCGTCGCTTGCGCGAGGTTCGGAGCTGGAGCTGCGGTGGGGCAGCAGACCAGGGCTGAGGCTACGGCCGAAAGCAGCCGCGACCCCTTCGGTCGACGAGTCTGTAGACGTCTCGGAACATTCAGCTTGTTCTTCGTGACGAGGTTGTTGATGGTGTCGGTCAGCGCGCTGGTCCTGGTAGGGTTGTTGGCCGTGGGCTGGTCGCCCGCCCTCGTCTTCCCATCCCGTCGGTCGAGCGTCTTCTCGATCTCTACGTACAGGGTCTTGTCCAGCTGTCGCTTCCTTCCGGACGAGCTGGCCGCGCTGGGCGGTTGCTCCATGCCGGCGTCCTTGATGGCTTGCCAGTCCTCTGGCTGCAACTTGATTGCGGGTTGGCCCGCGGCGCTCGTGGTGAGCTTCTGGGTGGCGTTCCCGATGCGAATCTGGCCCTTCCAGAGAGAAATGTCGATCTTGGAAGGCTGGGTGAAGTCGCGGCCGATGAGCAGACCCAGCGCTGGGCTGTCCACGACGCTGAATACGACGCGGCCAGCCTGGCCGCACAACGCAAGCGGCGCGGTGACGCGCAGCTTGCTTGAGAGGGTACCTCCGTTGCCGAACCTGTAGACCTCGTCCTCCGGCTCCTCGAGGATCTGCGGTTGGCAAGCCCAATCTTCGCGAGGATGTCATTGTAGTTGTCGCACCACTTCTTGCCCGAGAAGCGGAGAGAGAGAGAGAGAGAGAGAGAGAGAGAGAGAGAGAGAGAGAGAAACACAAAAAACAGGCGGTGTCGACCGCGCCGACGCCTTCGTCCACGGCTTGTCACTGCCGATCGCGACGTTCACGTTCGGCAGGTGGTGGATGAGCCGCTCCGAGACACAAGTCTCTGGGGGCGGCGTGACTGGTCCCTGCGGGTGCAGGGCGATCTCCTCGTCCGCGAACTGGACCTGCTCGGTGAAGTGTGCCTGGCGCTGAGGGCGGCCTCCGCGACCTCCTCGTCCACCGCGCTTTGACTTGCTGTCCTTGGGCGCGAACTTGCGAGCACCTGGCGCGGGGCGCTCCTTGTCCCCTGTCCAGTGTCCGGTCTCGCCGCAGTCCCAGCAAGAAGTGTTCCTCCTGCGCTGGTCGACCCACCCGGCTCTGTAGCTTGGTCGGGCGGCGGTTCGGCGCGGACTTCGCCTTGCCGCGGCCCTTGAGGGCCTCCCGAGCCGATCTGATGGTTGCTATGGCCTCGGGAATAGCGGCAAGTTCCGCCGCGGCAGCTTCGACCCAGGCAGAGTCGTCGCCGTCGAACAGCTCGGAGATGTCTACGTTGAAGGACTCGAGCTCGGCGCTGAAAGCCTCGGGCTCCTGGCGAACCATGTCCTGGGCGTCTGTCTCGTCGTCATCGTCCTCCCCTTGCTCTTCGTCGTTCTCGTCGCCGGGCTCGTCGACGACATTGGTAGAGCGCCCCCCGCGGCTGGAGGAAACGTTGCCGCGCCAGCCGCCTTGTGAGCGCGACTGGTTGGTTCATGGCCGCGGCGGGGGAGCTCGGCGCTCCGACGTATGTATGTCCGGGAACATCCTGACCAGCAGCCCGCGGATGCGCTGGTTGCCGTAGTGCTCGTCGGGCAGGTTGCCCGCGACACGTTCTCGTCGATCTGCCGTGAGCCCAGCTTTGAGCAGCAGAAACCATCCCGCCGCGTCGTCCAGCTCCACTTCGTCCTCGCGTAGCTGCTGCAGTCCAGTTTCGAATCGGATGAGCCACTCCGTCATGCGTTGATGATGTTGTTCGACTCAACATCGCATCTTCGTCGGCGATGTTGAGTTGACTCGAAGAAGTTTTCGAGGGTCTCGCCCTTCTGCACGGGCTTCTGCTGGCCCAAGTTAGCCTCCAGGTGTTGTCGCGCATTCTCGATGCCGACCTGGTTCCTATGTCGCATCTTGTCATCGGGGGCTTCAATGTCTGCCGCGGCTGCTGGGTGCAGCTGCGCCACCGTCATATTCAGTGCTGCGCCGCGGGCAGTCCCGCTCAGCTTCGGCGCGAGCTTCGATGCGAGGCTCTGGGCCACGGCGAGGTTCTCACTGAGCTTCCAGAGCTGGACCTCCTGTTGTGCCGGATCGCCATTCACGCATAGTTGCCCGTCAGTTTGTCAAGAATGAGATAATGAGCCGCGTCGCTGACATTGGCGTCGAGGTAGGCGTTGATGCTGGCGTCGCTGACGCTGGCGTGAGAGAAGTAGGCGTTGATGTTTGCGTCGCTGACGCTGGCGTTGGAGAAGCAGGCGTTGATGCTGGCGTCGCTGACGCTGGCTTTGGGGAGGTAGGCGCTGATGCTGGCGTCGCTTGCGCTGGCCCGGGAGAAGTAGGCGTTGAAGCTTGTGTCGCTGACACTGGCGTAGGAGAAGCAGGCGTTGAATTCGGCGTCGCTGACGCTGATGTAGGAGAAGTAGGCGAAATAGTCGTTGATGACGGCGTCGCTGACGCTGTCGTGAGAGAAGTAGGCGTTGATGTCGGCGTCGCTGACGCTGACGTAAGGGAAGTAGGCGTTGGAGGCGTAGGTGCTGGCGTCGCTGACGCTGGCGTAGGAGTTGGCAAGGTAGTCGTTGATGACGGCGTCGCTGACGCTGTCGTCGGACAAGTAGGCGTTGATAGCGTCGCTGACTTTGGCGTAGGCGCTAAGCAACAGCGCGAGCAGGAAGCCGCTGGGTTTCGATTCCGTGGGTCGCGACGGCTGCGTCGTGGCTGCAGAAGAAGATGGCGCGCAGCGCCAGGCGGCGAGCAAGGGATGATACACAACCCCCTCGGGAGTGAGCTTGATTTACAGCCTTGGGGCTTCCTTGGCGCCCTTCCGGCATGTTGGAGGTCATCCTGGGCCATATTTTGTCATCCTGGAGGCCGTCTTGGCTTGTCTGGGGCCATATTGGATCCATGTAGGGCCAATCCCGACCCTTTGCTCCATGGCGGGTGTCTGTCCAGAAACACGGGGTTGAAAGTTGGAAAACCCTTCCCCGAAGGGGACGAGGGGTTGGATGTGTTAGCTCGCCGAACAATCCGCCCCCAGAGGTTTGTGAATTCCAGGAAGAGAAAGAGAAGGATAAACAGGTAGAATAGGAGGTTGAGGAGCAGCAGGTTGAGGAGGAGGAGGAGGAAGAGCAGCAGCAGCAGCAGCAAGGCTGAGGAGGACGAGGCGCATCGGTGGGAGAACGTATCGTGGTCTCCCGGCGGTCCGGCGCCGCAGCCTCCGCTGGTTTCTGGCTGGGGGGCGGGCAGGAGCAGCTGTTGGCCTTGCGGGAATCGAACCTCGGCTTCGCCTGCGAGTCGGACCGTCCCCCCACCCCCCTCCCTCTTCCCCCCTCTGCTGCGGGCACGAGCGGGCGGCGTGGCGTCGGTCCGCGGCCGAGGGCCAGCGGGAAGCCGGGGGAGGGGTAGGGGGTTGGGGGTGTAGGGGGCGGGTGGGCCGAGAGAGATGATGCGCTGACCCCCGCGCGCCTGCTTCTCTCGTGCTGTCGCAGGGATCGTGGATCTTGGCGCTACTGTCCTTGAAGCCTGAAGAGAGTTTTCTGGGATGGGTCTTGTTTCAAACAAGGGCATCGGGAACACCACTGTGCTGGGTGGTCTTTGTGTCCGTATCACGGGCCATGGCGAAGTGCATGCTTCCATCTTTGGTAAAGTAGGTCGGCTTCTTCTTCTTCAGACCAGCCCGGCCGCTGAACATGTAGATTTCGTGACTTCGCGCAGGCACGCACCTCACGCCAGCGAGTTCTGCACCGATTGCAAGGGTCCTGTGAGTACTGCAAAGAGGGCTCCTGGGGCTGTCTTTGGTTCCCCCTCGCCCTTGCCCCTCCCGTTGCTCCTCCCTCTGTCCCTCCTCCTGCTATCGATCCTGCTGTGCCTGCTGGTCTCACGGTGGGAAGCCAGAGCTGGGTGTGGAGGCAGTCTAGGTTGGTTTGTCGAGTCTGTCTGAGGCACAGCCCGGGGGACCCTCCCCTGGACACTTGCCAGCAAGCAGCGTCACCCCGAGCTCCCTGCTCTATTTGCGAACCCGCGCTCCCACCACCTGCATGTGACTCAATACTATGGAGGGTTGGTCTTCATCACCTAATCAGAACATCTTAGTAAGCTTGCAGAAGACTGCCATAGGGGGGCCCAGCAGTGACCACCTCAAGCCTAATCTAAAGCGAGTTCGGGGGTAAGCATGCCCTGCACGCTCAGGGCAATACTGTTGCCATTGAAAAGCTCACCCCTGTCTCCCAGTAACTGGGGTGAAGTGCGATACGCAAACTGATAGGATGACGTTTACCCGGCCAGCGGTGGCAGGTAGCGGATGTTTCTGGTTTGATGTGTGCCGCTTACTAGCCCTTGACTTCATTATAGACGTGGCCAGTCTAAATTGATTCGCCTTGCTCCTGCTGCTCCTCCTTGACACCAGGCTTGTCTCATGTAAAGCAAGCGTTACAGCACATGTGCTGTTGGAGGCCCGCGCGGAAACATTTGATCGGCGCTGGACACCTCCCTGGCGCGCGAAGCGCGCCAATGGCGGCGCTGCGCTATTGGCGCCGCCAGGGGGGCCAGCGCCGATCCACCGCTTGCCTCTGAAAGTGTATGCGTGCATGCCGCTTGTTTCCCAACCACCTTGTGGTGTTGGGTCCGCTTTTTGAAGAGACAGCGCCCCGCTTTCCTCCTTCCTTCCATCCATCCTTCCTTCCTTCCTCCTCCTCCCCCTCCTCCTCTTCCACCACCACCATCATCATCATCATCAGCATCATCATCATCATCATCATCAGCAGCATCATCATCATCATCATCATCACCCGTTTGAGCACACCCCTCACATGTTTCGTGGCCCCATAGGGAGCTCCACCGACGGCCCCAGTGCTACAGCCCGCATGCGTCCCCCCCCACCCAGGACAGCGTTTCGTGGCCCCATAGGGAGCTCCACCGAAGATCCCAGTGCTACCGCCCGCATGCGTCTCCCCCACCCAGTACAGCGTTTCTGGCCCCACAGGGGGGGCTTCACCGAAGGCCCCAGTGCTACCACCCGCATGCGTCCCCCCCGCCCAGTATCGTGGCCCCATGGGGAGCCCCACCACAGAACATATTCATAGTTGCAGTACTCACAACTGCATATGGTTGGGTCCTTCGTCAGGATAATTAGTTTTTTCGAACCGGAGGACACGGCATCAGGGTAAACTTGGCGAGACCCAAGCAATCCGTGCGATGGATCCACCATCATCAGACCATCGCGCTCCCTACTGGAACAGGAACAGCTGGGTCGTCCAGGATGTCTCTCCCTGGTGAGGATGGGTGTTGCGAAAATCGAACGAAGCGGCACCCATCTCCACCTAGGAAGGGTAGGTCGGCTGGCGGGGCCAAGGTGTCCCTGTTGGGGGCCGATTTCGTTGTCCGGAGGGATAATCAAGAACGCTCCCACATAGAGAGCGCCGTGATTAGGGGTGTGCCAGTGCCAGGCTCACTGGAGATTTTAGATTCGAAGTATTGGTACACGCACAGCGGGAACCGATAGAACGCGTGCGGGAAAAAAGGATCCGGGCAGGCCAGGCGAGGGATGAGGCGGAAGGGAAAATCGATGCGGTTATTGTTGTCCAGAACTCGAGACGTTTGCAGGAACGTCGACGCTCCACGAGGAGTATTTCTTTGACGTATCTTCACGTGTATACGGCCTGGTGGCCAGCGCAGGTTCCCACAGCAGTCGCGCCCAACCACACGTGGCTGGTTGACCATCGTGATTTCTTGCGTCTTTCTATCAAGCAGAGTGGCTGTCGCACTCAGCCAGCACGTCTCGCCACTCTGGCGGATCGTCGGTCGCAGGTGCATTATGCCGCTGTTGTTGCGCGCGGAGTTCGCGGGCCAGTTTGCCAGCGGCGGTGCTCCGCGCGTGTAAAGGCACGTCTTGCTTGCGTACGGATTGAGCGGCCCCCGCGCAAATCTGCCGTCGCGCTCGGGCGGGCGTTCCGAGGGGAAAGGGGAAGGGGCCTAAGAGGCGCCCAGGGCTGCTAGGCGCCATGGAATCTTCCACATATCCGATTTTATATAGTTCCCCAATCAGTGCTTGCACTGAAAGGGTCCTAGCGGAAGTTGAAGGATTTGGCGAAAGTTCTCGCCGATTTGGGTGGCAGGCTGGGTTCCCGGGTTCCTGGGTTCCCGGTTCCGGGTTCCCAGGTTCCCGGGTTCCTGGGTCCCCGGTTCTGGGTTCCGGGCCGATTTCCGAGTGCGGCGAGGTTCCCGGGTTCCCGGGTTCTTGGTCGATTTTCTGATCGATCGGTCTCATAATCGATTTTATTACGGATTTCTCCATCGACCTCACCATCGATCTCATAATCGATCTCATCATCAATCTTACAAGCGATCTCACTAGAGATCGCATGATCGATCTCGCGATCGATCTCATTATCGATCTCAATGAATCAATTTCACTCTCGGTCTCACGATCGACCTTACAACCGTCCTCACAACAGTATCGATTCCACTGTCGATATCATGATCGATCTCACAATCGATCACCAGATCCGTAGCATCAATTTTTGAAATCATCCACGGATTGGGGTTTTCTCAGGATTTTTTTTGTTGGGCTGGGCAACAGCAGCGGAGGAGTTGGTCAAACAAATGGGCGCAGGTTGCTCGTGGTCGATGCGTCGAGGTCGTAAGCTGCTGTTTCACAAGAAGCGGAACTAACGTACACGCGCGCGCACCCGCGCCCGCACCCACACCCACACCCACACCCACACTCATACCCACACCCACACCCACGCCCACACCCACTCCCACACCCACACCCGCACCCACACCCACGCCCACATCCGAACCCACACCCACACCCACACCCATACCACACCCACGCTTTCATTCGCACCCACACCCACACCCGCACCAACACCCACTTCAACACCCGAAGCCATACCCACACCATCACGCACACGCACACGTACACGCACACGCACACGCACACGCACGCGCACGCGCACGCGCACGCGGACACGCACACGCACACGCACGCGCACGCGCACGCGCACGCGCACGCGCACCCGCACACGCACACGCACCCGCACACGCACGCGCATGTGCACGCGCACGCGCACACACGCACTCACACGCACGCGCACACGCGCCCGCACGCGCACGCGCACGCGCGCACGCAGACGCACACGCACACGCGCATTCACACGCACACGCACGCACGCACGCACGCGCACGCGCACATGCACACGCACACGCAATCGCACACGCGCTCGCACCCGCACACGCACTCACGCACACGCGCGCACACGCGCACACGCACGCGCACACGCACACCCACGCTCACGCGCACGCGCGCGCGCGCGATCAAGCGCACGCGCGCACGCGCTCACTCGCGCACGCGCGCTCACGCTCACGCGCGCACACGCGCACGCGCGCACACGCGCACGTGCGCACGCGCGGACACGCGCACACGCGCGCGCACGCGCGCACACGCACACGCGCGCACACCCCCACAAGCTCACGCGCGCACGCGCGCACACGTGCACGCGTGTACACAAGCACACACGCACACACACCCACACACACGCACGCGCACACATACACCCACACACACACGCGCACACACGCACACGCACACACGTACACACGCACACACGCGCACACACACACACGCACGCATACACGCGCACACGCACACGCACGCACGCGCGCCCGCGCACGCGCGCACACAATTCCGCACACGCGCACACGCGCACACGCGCACGCGCACGCGAACTCGCGCACGCACGCATAGGCGCGCACGCGCGCACGCGCGCACACACGCACGCACGCACGCACGCACGCGCACGCACGCGCACGCGCACGCACGCGCGCGCACGCGCGCACGCACGCGCGCGCGTGAGCACACGCGCACGCACGCACGCGCACGCAAGCACGCGCACGCACGCATAGGCGCGCACGCTCACACGCGCGCACACACGCACGCACGCGCACGCACGCACGCGCACGCGCACGCACGCGCGCGCACGCGCGCACGCACGCGCGCACTTGAGCGCACGCGCACGCAAGCACCCGCGCACGCATGCACGCACGCACGTACGCACGGGCGCACGTTCACGCGCGCACACACGCACACACGCACACACGCACACACGCACACATGCACACGCACACACGCACACGCACACACGCACACACGCACACACGCATAGGCGCACACACGCACACACGCACTCGCACATGCGCACGGACACGGACACGCTCACACGCACACGCTCACGTATACGCTCACGTTCACGTTTACGCACACGCACATGCACACGCACACGCACACGCACGCTCGCACACGCACACGCACACGCACGCACGCACACATTCGCACACACGCACGCACGCACGCTCGCACGCACGCACGCACGCACGCACACACAACACACACAGCACACACAATACACAGCACACACAACACACAACACTCGTGACACACACAACACGCAACACGCAATTCACGACACAGCACACACCACATTCACACCAACCGCTGCACGCGCGGTGCCGAGTGCAGAACCACGCGTGCTTCTACATCCGCGGCTACTTGCAGAGGACATCTGGGAGGGTGCACGACTCTTCCCAGGTAAACGTTGCACGGGCATGCCAGAGGACACGCGGTGCAGCAAGCCAGGGATTGGAGAGGACAATGGGTATGTGATGGCCTTCGGAGTTGTGGGTGTGACGCCTATTTGATGTTTGTTGGAATCTCGTGGGAGGCCTCTTGGAGGCAGTGCTGAGCCTCTGTTTTCGGACCTCTAGGTGCTTCTTGGGAGCCTCTTGGGGCCTTGTGGGGGCCTCCCAGGGGCTCCTTAAAACCTCCTGGGGCACCTCTCGGGACCTCCTGGGAGCCTCTAGTGGCGGAAGGCTAGGATCTTCAGTTCGTGTCCCCTCTCTTGGGCCCCTGTTGGAACCGTTTTGTGGCCCTCTTGGGCCGTCTTGGGCGACTCGTGAGCTGTCTTGGGGCGCTCTTAGGCAGTCTTCTGGCCCTCGTGTAGGCCTCTTGGGCCGTATCGGGGTGGTCTTGGGGGCCTCTTGGGCCGTCTTGGAGCGACGGAAAACAGAAAGGCGAGAACGCCCAATTCCTTCAAACATCAATGGAAAATCAATGATGCCACTTGAACGGCCTTTTGGAGGCCTCTTGGGAGGCCCCTTCGAGGCCTTTGTGGCCTCTGTGACCGTCTTGGAGGCCTCTTGGGCCGTTTTCGGGCCATCTTGGGCGTCTTCGAGCGATCATTCGACGTCTCGGGGGACTGGGGCTCAGGGGATTGGGCGCAGGACCTGAGGGTACGCCCGCTTTGTGCACAGCGGCACGGTGGCGAACCTCATGATTTTGCAGGGTCGACCTTTCCGTTTTGTAGGGTAGAACCCCCCAGCGGATTTTTCAGTAACTCGTGGGAGGCGCGACAGGGCCCTCCAAGACGACGACGGCCTAGAGGAACGGCCCCTCCAGTTTGCTCCTTCTCCTCTGCGCCGAACGCTCTCTGGAGCACCTGCTTCGCGTGACCTCTGTTTGAGACGTCGCCCTGCTAACCCCCTCTTTCGCCTCCGCCTGCTGCTGCTGCTGCTGCGCCTCTTCGCCTCCTGGCTGGAGGGCAGCCCTCTCCCGCGGCAGTCGCCAATGGGGGAAGAGGATGACGGGGGAATAATGATAAGGGGTAGCGTATTTCGTGCAGCGCGAGGATCAGACTGAGAGCCCTCAGTAACACATTCCCCCACGGTTTTCGCACAGTTCTGACCTGTGCATGCGTGGGTGCTTGTGCGACCGTGGCCGACTGGCAGTACGCAGTGGGAGCCCTCGTGCCTCAGGACAGTCATGGGGCGCACCGCAACTTCCTCAACACGGACCGTGCCAGCAGTCAATTTGCAGGGGGGTGGAGGAGGAAGAGGAGGGGGAGATGGCAGTGCAGTTACATAGGGATGATGATGTTGCTAATGATGATGCTGCTGATGATGATGATGCGGAAATTCAATGATGACGACGGTGGTGGTGATGGTAATGACGATGATAGTGACAACGGCGATGAGGATGATGACGATGGAGGTGGTGGTGGTGTGATGGTGGTGATGATGATCGTTATCATGGCGACGATGGCTACATACTGTTGACAATGACCATACGGAGACACATATATGTAAATACATGCATACGTGTATACAACACGATGGCGATGATGTTGCTAATGCAGATGATGCTGCTGCTTCAGATGATGGTATTGATGATGATGGCGATGATGACGCTGATGATGCTGCTGCTGATGATGATGATGATGGTGGTAATTGTGATGGTGGTGGTAATGATAGTGGTGGTGTTGATGATTATGATGGTGGTAATGATGATGATGATAATCAGGAGGGGTGGCGCTGGGAGACGAGGGGAGGACGATCAGGAATGATGATGATGATAAGGATGGCGCTGAGGTGTTTGCGCGCGCCTGGCCGAATTGAAATGGTTATTGTAACGGCGGCGGCGGCTGCACGAGTGGAGGCGATGGTGTCATTGGTGGCGATGGCCGCAGGGAAGGAAGTCTTGCAGGATGATCAGGAGGACGTGGAGGACGATGAGTGCAAGGATGATGCTCATGCTGATGCTGATGTTGATGGTGATCGTTATGATGATGATGATGATGCTGACGATGCTGATGATGATGATGATGCTGATGATGATGATGATGATGGTGATGATGATGATGATGATGATGATGAGCATGATGATGCTGCTGCTGATGCTGATGATTGTGGTGATTGTGGTGGTGATGGTGATGGTAGTGGTGATGGTAGTGGTGTTGTTGATGGTTCTGATGGTGATGCTGCTGATGATGATGATGATGACGATGATGATAATCAGGAGGGGCGGCGATGGGAGAATTGGGGAGGGCGAGAAGGAATGATGAGGATGATAAGGATGGCGCTGAGGTGTTTGCGCGCGCCTGGCCGAATTGAAATGGTTATTGTAACGGCGGCGGCGGCTGCACGAGTGGAGGCGATGGTGTCATTGGTTGCAAGGATGATGATGATGATGATGATGATGATGATGATGATGATGATGATGGTGATGGTGATGGTGATGATGATGATGATGATGATGATGATGATGATGATGATGATGCTGATGGTGATGATGGTGGTGATGATGATTCTGATCATTATCATGATCATAGTCATGATGATGCTGATGCTGATACTGATGCTGATGGTGATGGTGATAGTGATGCTGATGCTGATGGTGATGGTGATGGTGAATGTGATGTGATGATGATGGCGATGATGAGGAGTAGGAGGAGGACGACGATGATGATGGGCAGGAGGAGGAGGAGAAGGAGGAGCAAGCGGATAGCAGTGGTGGCCATTGCGGTGGGAATGGTGGTGTTGCTTGGGTCCGGCTGGAGGGTCTCTGCTATTCCTTCCTTCTCTGCCCTCTCTCTCTTCCCACAGGGGTATCGGGGGTCACGATCAGGGCGTGTGTGTTTGTGTGTGTGTGTGTGCGCGTGACTTTTTTTTTGATCTGCAGGGCGAGAGCGAACCTTTTCCGCTGAAAGCTAAGCGGGACGCGCACAGCTTTAATTAGCAGAGAACGGGCGGAAGAAGGCGGGGCCTCACGCGGCCAGGAGAGGGCGAAGCCCAGGGATCAGGCGGTGCCGAAGTTGACGTGCAGGAAAAGGTACACCTTGGACAGGAGCCCGGTGGTGAAGCCCCGGGAGGACGAAAGCCGGTGGTGGTGCCGTCAGCGGCGCTTCGACATCGTGCGCGTGACACAGGCCGCGTCGGCGCTCGCAGGAAGAGCAGGAGGAGGGCGGCCCCGAAGCGGACTACGACGAGTAGACGCCGGCACCACCACTGCAGCTGTTCGCGTCCCTTGAGCCTGTCGAGCCCGCTGGCCTATGCCTTGCCTCGAGGAGGGTGGGCTGCACGTCCAGGCCGCCCTTTGCGGATCCCTCCGTAATTACCTACAGGCACGGCGTTCTGTCCTTTGGGAATCGTCGCGTGCAAATGATCGAGCGATCTCAGCAGCGGTCTCTTCGCAAGCAAACGCAAGCGACAACTGCAGGAGTCTGGAGCAACCGCGCTACGCAGCTTGTGCTCGCTTAGGTACGGGCATGTTCACAACAGTGCACCGGGCAGAGGTTGAGGCCTCCCACCTCAGCCGGCCCGTAGATTGCGGCCAATAGTGCAGGACCCCGCCGCCTCCCTTTGCCTTCGCTTCCCTGCCTGGCAAGCTAGGCGGGTCGGGCCTACATGGAATTCTTCGTCTCTCTTATCAGTCTCCATGCCCTGAAGTCGGAATGCCTGTTCTGCGATCGTGATTGGTTTAATCTGCGTCGCCCGAGTCGCGCACGCACTACCGATTGCAGCGCTCTTCCTCGCCTGTGCGGCCCTGTCGCTTTGCAATGTGGTTTTGGATTCTCCTTCGCTTCTGCGGATTCCGGCGCTCTCTCCCGCCTGCGACGCCCTGCCGTTTTCTCTCCGTTGAGGTTGCAGTGCGCCCCGGTGGCAGGAGCAGCCGCTCTGGCGCACTTCGATGCTATGGCGCGCAACGTCGCGTTGCAACTTCCTGTCCTGTTGTGTCGTCGTGTTGTGCCTGCAGCTGCCCCGGAGCTAGGAGCCCTCGCGCTGGCGCGCTCCCATGTTGTGGCGAGCAGCGTGGCTCTGCGCCTCACTTTGCAGGCTTCAGGGTGGCGTGATCTGCTGAGGTCGAGTGCAGGAGGACCTCTTCTCTCTTTCAGCGCAAGGGCAAGGACGAGGGAGGAGGAGGAGGAGAAGGAGGAGGAGGAGGAAGGAGGAGGTGGAGGGGAAGGAGGAGGAGGAGCAGGAGGAGGAGGAGAGAGAGGTGAACCACCGTTTTGGTTCGCTTCTGCCTGGAGGCAGAGGAGTCATTCATGATGGCGATGAGGAAGAGGGATGCCTAGGATGGACGATTGTTCTACAGGGACGACGACGAGTGGATGAGGAGGAGGAGGAGGGAACGGCAGTCTCTTCTCTTTCCCCTGCTGGTGGCAAGCCAGGCCGACAGGCTGATCTTCGAGAGGCTGGCCTCGCGGGGCCTCCGCGGAGACGCGGCCAGCTCGTCCACGGCCAGCCGACTGCAGGCCTCCTGCGCCCGTGCTCGTCCCTCGGAGGGGGTGGCGACGATGGTGGGTGGCATGCATGTTCACGTTGAACGCCATGCCCACATGATCCTCGTCTTCCTCCTCACCCTCTCCCTCTCCCTCCGCGCCAATGCGCATTTCCAGTCGAGGTGGGTGAGATTCATGATGGAGTACCACTTGTTGAATGCAGTTTGCGCAGACGCAGGAGCGAGCCTGTCTCAATGCACGGGCTTTTCTGCCAACGTCTGCGGTCTGTGCGACGGGAAAACCCGGATTTCGCCACCCAACGTCCCGAACGAACCCGTTAGGTCGCGATCCCCAGGCCAGGATGTTCTCGTAACCTTCAGCGCGTGATTGGGGTGCAGCTCGTACACATATTGCTGAGACTATTGTCAATCATCGCAGGCGATGTTTCTATCCCAACCCTTGATTTTTCGACGAAAATGAAGCAGCTGAGCAAAGGCGGGAAACCCTGAGATACATCCCCAGGGGGCTATTCGGACGCACCCCTATCGAGGATGGACGCCTCCCCTCGTATATCCCAGGGTGGGGCTAAACTTTTCGATCCATTCGGATACGCCACGAAGCCTGGGACAGGGGTCGACATATCTCCTGTCAAAGCATCCGCTTGCTGCAACATTGGATGCTGTTGTGGAGTGTCATGAGGGTGAGGTCTTGGACAGGATGGATATCGTCGATGACCGCAGTGCCAGGCGCCAGGGTCGCGCGGGACCACATGCGTGGGAATGGGAACGAGTCCAACCTACCGTCAGCAGCATGTTTCAGCGAGTGCGTGCTTGCAAGATGTCAGGCCGCCAGGCTCGACACATGCAGGCCATGAAGCTCAGGATGATCAAGTGCCTTGCGACCCCAAGTACCGAGAGAACGTATGTGCCTTGCCAGTTTCCAGATGCATGTTGCCGTTCGCGGGCATCCAGAACCAGCTGAGGGCCCAGTCGCCCAGATGCGCACTTCCAATAAGTCCTTGAACATTCAGAAAGGCCACGTCCATACCAGAGAGCTGACGACTGCATGGGTTCGTGGGCCACTATCTGGGCAACATACCACCAACAGTCTGCGAAGCTTCCGATCGACTTCCACGAGTGGGCGCAGTTACCATACATATCTGGCTAGCTGGCTTCGCTCTCGCTCAGAACTGCCCTCGGCCACGTCGGTCTCCACCCGCGGGCTGCAGACGTTGACCGAATTGCCCCACAAATATGCAGGCAAGGATGGTTCGCGTTCCAACGTACAGTTGTGCAGCTGGCGGGCGTATACATGCAAGGATGGTCCGCGTTCCAACGGTGGCTGGAGGCTATTGCCTCATCGCTCCCATCCAGACCAACATGGTACTTGGAGTCGCCTGCTGCGCCAGTTTTCCCGAAATTGGTGATCATGCCAATTTCAAAGAGGTTTTCTGGGGGGGGCAGGTCAGGAGGTACGTCTGTGGACGCGGCCTATTCCCACACCCTAAAGTCTGAGCTGACACAACTTCGTTGACAGGTGTCTGTGGCCGTGCTGGCTGATGGATATGCGTGAATGCTCCGAGGTGATACGATTACCAACGCTGGCTCAGCATGCTAATTACTTGAACTACCGAACAAGGTTGCTGTGGCTGCCTCTGGGCAGCTACCAGAGGCCGCGAGTGAACAAAGAATTGGATCTTTGCCCATAGAGTGCAACTCGTACCAGGGCATCTTGGCGGGCTGATCTCGCGCCGCGACGATGACCCACCTCCTGCACAAGGTGCTTCGGCTGATGAAGGTGCTGTATTCTAGTACATCCCCAGGTCCTTGATTGACGGCGCCAGCTCCCATTGTATCGGCTACACTGCGACGGGTGCTGGAGTGCTGGTTGCAGGTGTGCGATCGCTCGCTGAGCAGGTATTCCAATGCGGCTTGGTGATCCAGATGGCAAAGTCTGGCTGCGTGGTCATGGGCTACAAGACCAAACCGGCGACAGAAGATTCGACGCACGGTTTCCACATCAGGACCGTCAACCACATGAGGAATTTCGGCGACGAGCTCTCGAGTGGCAGAGTCAGGAGAATCCAGGGGCGCAAGAGGTCGTCTGTGCCTGTGTCTAAACGCTCTCAGCTTCAGGCGCAGCTGAGAGGAGCCAAGGAGAAGGTTCCAACGCTGTGGAGGACAGGGCTGCTGCCATCAGCAGGTTGCGGCACTAGAGCAAGCGGGGTGGCCGAGATGACGCTCAAGAGGCTCAGGTCTGTACTGGTGGCGTTAGTTGGTGCTAGGCATTACGCTTCGAGCGCGGCGTGGCTCTGCGCCTAGACGGACGGCGCGTGCGATCCCGTTTTTGGCGCCACGCCGGGTGTAGCCATCAGGTATGCAGGGATAGTTTGGGAGGCTACCGTATACGTGGCTGAATTGTAGCGTGCGTGTCTTCGTATATTGTGTATACGTGTGCATACAAACATATGTGTGTATACATTGAACGCGTCAATGGCTCACCTGCCTGGGGCAATTTCTGGGGCCTTATCTCAACCATTTTTATTTGTCTTTGGGACGTGTTGGATGGCGGTTTGCATATGTTGCTGCTGATGATGATGCTGATGGTGATGATGAGGATGCGAGGACGACGATGATGATGACGACGATGATGGTGATGGTGATGGTGGTGATGATGATGGCGGTGATGATGCTGATGATGATGATGATGGGCGTGATGATGGCGATGATCATGCGGATGATGCTGATGATGAGGATGCTGATGATGATGATGATGATTGTGAGGATGATGATGATGATGTCGATGATGGTGATGATGATGGTGGCGGTGATGGCGATGGCGATGGCGATGATGATGATGCTGATGATGGTGGTGGTGACGCGGATGATGATGATGTTGATGATGCTAATGATGATGTGATGATGATGATGATGATGATGATGATGCTAATGATGATGATGATGCTAATGATGATGATGATGATGATGATAATGATGCTGATGATGATGATGCTGATGCTGCTGATGCTGATGCTGATGCTGATGATGATGATGCTGATGATGATGATGATGATGCTGATGATGCTGATGCTGATGCTGATGATGATGATGATGATGATGATGATGATGATGCTGATGCTGATGCTGATGCTGATGCTGATGATGATGATGATGGTGATGGTGATGATGATGATGATGATGATGATGATGATGATGATGATGATGATGATGAGGATGAGGATGAGGATGATGATGAGGATGAGGATGAGGATGAGGATGAGGAGGAGGAGGAGGAGGAGGAGGAGGATGCGGAGGAGGAGCATGAGGGGGCGGTGGTGTTTGGCGGAAGCAGCGCCAGCCTGCCCCTGCGTCTTGCTTCCTGTCCTGCTGTGTCCCAGCCCCCTTGCTTGCTAAGGAGGGGGGGGTGTAGGAATGCGATCCGGGGACGCTCAGGCGCTCGGAGCGCGGATGACCGCCGCGATGGGGGCCGCGGAGCTGCTGGAGGACCCATCGACAGGCTCCCGCCCGTCGACCCTCTGCCGCCCCCAGAGACCCCCTGGTTCAGGGGACGCCAACGGACCCTTCCACCGACTCCTGGCCCGGGCGATCCTGGGCGCAGGATGGGTGCAGTCGCCCTCCTGGCCAAACCTAGGGGGCGTTTGTGTGCCGATCCCGGTCCCAGGGTGGGTGTGGCCAGGATCGATGAGGTGGTCCGCCGACGCCCCCCGACTGGTGGCCATCCCGTCGCCCCTCTGTCGAGGGCTCCCCCCAGGGCCCCCCCCAGAGCTCCCTCGGTGGCCCTGCGGACGATGTCGCAGTATCGCTGGCGCAGAGGGCAACCTCGACTCGCCACGCTTTGTCGTGTCCCCTGTTGCATCGAAGTGCTCCCCTTCTTTCTTGCCTCGTTGCCATCCACCCTTCTGGTCGGCGCGTGAGCAGCACAGATGCGGGCTCCATGTGGCCGTGCTCGTGCTGTCTGGGTGGGCAAAGGTGAGTTGGCTACTCGGACCGACCACCTTCCCGACAGGCCCTCCCCGTTCCCCAGCAGCGCGTTGCGGGCGCAGACGGGTACAGCCGCCATCGGGGGCGCCTCCCCCGCGGCGGCCGGGAAGTTTGTACCCCCACTGGCGGCGGGTCGGGGAATGAGCTTTCCAGCCAGCCGCCCTGGGGCGGGCGTCCCCGACGACAGAACGGTTTCTTCTCTGCCGCTTTTCGCCCGCTACGGCGTGTCCATCCCTCGTTCCCCAGCGCCGCCGCCGCTTGCCGTGCGGGCACTGGGGGGGCGTATGAGCGCGGGCGCTTGCGCTAGCGTCTGCCGGCGTGGCGTTCGTCCTCTTTCGTTGTTGTGACCTGGCGGCATCAATACACAAAACATCTAGCGTTGAGATTCGTTCCGCCAGCGGGGCTTTTTAGTCATCTCGACCCCGCATACATGGGCATGGTTCAAGTTTGGCATTTGTTGGCATAACCGAAGCCGGCTTCTATTGTCTGGAACCGCTTCAGAGCCGTCAAGAAAACCATTTTGGCGAGGACGTCCCAAGCGGTTTGGCGTTTTCGATCCGCCATCCCATTATGTGAAACCAGGTTGCAATCGCATTTTGAAGGAAATCTCAAGCGAAATGCTAGTTTGCCAACTGTTTGGAACCGATTTCTATTGTTTCGAACCGCTTTGGAACCGTCAGTAGAGCAAGTATTGCGGGGATGCCCCACGCGGTTTGCCGTTTTTGAGTCGCTATCCTTCTGTTTCGAATCGGGCCTGACGCCTGATTTTGAAGGAAGTCCCACGCGAATCGCTCGTTTTGCTTTTGTTTCGACCAGATCCTATTGTTTCGAACCGAGTTCGAACTGTCAAAACATCTATTGTTGTGAGGATGTCCCACGCGGTCTGCCGTTTTGAACCGCAATCCCGTTTAGCTTAATCAAATTCTAAAACGCACCATCTCCAGTTGAGGACCTCTCCCAGAGCGGGTGCGGGCCCGACCTTCCGGGGCGGACCCGGGTGCGGCGACGGAGGCTTCTGAGAGCCGAAGGATCCGAAGGATGTCGAGGTGCTCCTCCTTCTCACCCCTCCCCCTCATCTCGGTGGTTCAGAGATGGGGCCCTGAGGGATGGGGGCAGAAGGATAGAAAAGGGTCCAAGGGTGGATTTGCGTTGTTTCCAGCACCTCGTCCTCAGGACCCCCATCTTGGACGCTCTGACCGCTCGCGACCGCCCCCGTCCAGGTCCAGGGGAGGGGGTGGGGGGGGGGGATAAACCCCTCCCCGAAGGGGAAGAAGGTGGCTGGAAGAGGAACCTCCCGAGATCACCGACGCCCAGAGAGCTGGTGGGATTTTGATTGAGGTGCCAATCCCCAGATTGCCCCCCTCCCCTGTTGCGAAGCACCTCCCCCGTGACAGTGTACCAGGCTCCACGTCCCTCACGGGGCGACTAGCGACGTGTGCTCGCTTTGCGGACGCAGGATGCACTTTTGCCGACAGGTCAAAATTGGGCAATCTGGTATCACGGCACAGTACTGCTGCATTGTTCGAGCGGTCTGCAGTCAAGATGCGTTGGCAATCGGATTTGGTCCCGCGCGTCGTTGTGACACCCTGCCCGCCTCCATGTCGGTCTCACACGCACTGTTCTGGACTTGGCCTCGTTCTCGTTTCGGGCCCTTCGTCATTCTCCCTTCGTCGCTCTTGCGGCCTGTCTGTTTCCAGGGCGTTAGGGCTTGACGCTAACATGCTCAAAACAACATCCCACTCATCCCCCCCTTCTCCTCCCTCCCCCTGGCCCAGTTGTTCTCGTTTTCCCGCACAGAGCAACTCATATCAAGCAGGGACAACTGTAGAGCCCCAAACGGCTTTCGGACGTCAGAGCGTACAGACAATCAGAAACATGTCAGTGGTTGTGGTGTTAGAGTGGGCTGAATAACCTTACTCCTTCAGTGCGAATGTGTATGCTATGTTGACTCGTCCCTGGCTGGTAACATCGCCTTGCCCAGGATGCGTGTGGCAACCCCCGCAGACTTTGGCAGGTCCCGACCCTGTTCGAAGGAGGAGGGGGCGCTCAGAGGAGTGGGGATTGCGGGCCGTGTGAACTCCCGCTCCCGCCCGCCCCCGTCGTCCTCTGCGGCAAGCCACTCCCCTCGAAGACAGACACAGAAACACTCACTTTCGGAGTTCTGCGCGGGGTTCTTGGGTCGGCGCTCCGCCTTGCGTGGCGTGTGCGCTGGCACGGCCACATCGGACGCCAGCGGCGGTCGCGATGTAACAAAGAGCGCGTTCTGTGGTCGCTTGGAGGGGGGGGTTGGAACTGGACCCCCCCCTTGGATGGAGGGGGGTTCGAACCCCCCCCCCCCTCCCGTGACGGAGGGGGGGGGGGGATTTCAACCCCTCCCAACCCTTCCCCTATTTTTCCTCTCTCCCTTTCCTCGGGCTGGCGCCTGCGACGGCTGGCGGAGGCGGGGGCGACGACTTCCTTTTCTGGGCCGGCGCCGGCGCCTGCGGCGGCGGGCGGCGGCGGTGGGAGACGTCGACGAGGACGATGGCGACGACGATGACGACGACGACGACGCTCCGCCACCGTGCCTTGGATTTGGATCAGCGTCCTAATGGATGCCTCTTGGAGTCTCTCTCGTGGGAGGGCTCTCGGGGGCCTCGGAAGGCCATTTGTGGAACCTCCTTGGCGCCTCTTGGGGGCCTCTTGGGGCCTCTGATGTGGTGGTGGTGGTGGGCTCTGTTGGTGGTGGTGGTTGTGGCGGTGGTGGTGGTGGCGGTGGTGGTGGTGGTGTGGTGGTGGTGGTGGTGTCGGTGGTGGTTGTTGTGGTGGTGATTGTGGCAGGTTGCGGTGGTGGCGGTGGTGGCGGCGGTGGTGGTGGTGGTGCGGTGGTTTCTGGTGGTGGTGGTGATGGTACTTGTGGTGGTGGTGGTGGGTAACCCTGCGGCTGATCGTCCGCACCTTCCGCAAGGTGCGGAAAGTGCGGAAGGTGAGGGTCAGTTGGTCGTGTCTTTGGATAGTGTTTTCGGATGTCTCTGGATGTCTTTGTTGTCTGTGTGTGTCTTTGCATGTGTTGCTGTTATTTTTCATTACGGTGCAAGAGGCAATGTGCGTTATGTGATGCTGGTGATGGCGATATGTCGTCTTGATAAGTGGGTTGTTGTTCATGCTGGTGATGTTACTGCCACCGTTGCCATGCATGCTGTTGCTCCTATTGTGGTTGCTGTTGTTGCTTCTTTTCCCGCTGTTGCGATGCATCGTTGCCGTTGCCATGCGTTGCTTGGATGTCAGTGTCGTTGCTGCTGTTGCTGTTGGCGGCGTTATTGCTGGCTGTTGCTGTTGTTGCTGTCTTTCATTTGCGGTGTTGCCGCTGCTGTTGTTAGTGTTGCCGTCGGTCCTCCTTCTCTTATTCCTCCCTGCGGAAACGAGGGGGTGAGAGGGGGATGAGCAGGATTAGCGAGGGTAGGAACGAAGAACAGCAATCGTCGAAGTCGGAGTGGGGGTCGTCGCCATCGTCGTCGTCATCGTTTTCCTCATCGCCGTGGTCGGTGTCGGAGTCGTCGTCGTTTGAATCATCGTCCGAGTCGGAGTCGTCGTCGGAGTCGTCGTCGTCGTTGTCGTCGTCGAAGTCGGAGTCGTCATCCTCGCCGTCGTCGTCGTCGTCGTCAGAATCGTTGTTATCGTCGTGGTCGTCGCCAGAGTCGTCGACATTGGAATCCTCGTCCGAGTCGCAAGCGTCGTCGGAATCATCGTCGTCGTCGTCGTCGTGGTCGTCGTCGTCGTCACGGCCAGCGAGCACTTCACATTATTTGTTGACAGGGACGGCGGGGGTGCCCGCATATTGCAGACACCCCCGCCATCCCTACAGCCCCATAGCCCTACAGCACTATAGCCCTATGGCCCTATAGCCCCATAGCCCTACTGCCCTATAAACCTATAGCTCCATGGCCCCATAACCCCATAGCCATACAGCCCGATAGCTCAGTTGCCCTATAGCCCAATAGCCCGCGTCGACCCAACATCGTGAGCTCCACAGCTCTCGGCTCCGCCGCCCCGCCGCCCTACCCGACGCCCTACCGCCGACGCCCTACCGCCGCGCCCTGCCGCCATTGGCCTTCTCGCAGCCCAAGTGGCGGAGGCTCCGGCGCGCCTGCCCGTGGTGAGTACACACGGCAGCCCGACGCTCTGCCTCTGGAGCCATAGCGGCAGGAAGAAGACAGGCTAGAGGGGACAACGCTCCCCCGAGCCTGTTCTTTCTTCTTCTTCCTCCTCATTTTCGTCCGCCTCCTCCTCCTCCTCCTCCTTTTCCTCCTCTTCCTTCCTCCTTCTCCTCCTCCTCCTCCTCCTCCTCCCCTTCCCTCGTCCCTCCTCTTTCCCGTCACGCGCCCTCCTCCACGCCCTTCTCCACTTCCACCCAATCCTCCCTCGCCCCCTTGTCCCCCGGAGGGGGGCTCTGCGATTACCTCCTGACGTCGGGGTGGTACAAGGTCATCGTGGCGCTGCGACGCATCGAGGACTCCTTCATACTAGATTTCGACA